ATCTACTCTCATTTCGTGCCATCCATGACCCGTCGATGATCGTCTAGCCACATAATTAGAAAGTGTAACTTGAATATCTAAAAGTCGCTTCACTATTTCATGATCATCAGCTCTAGAGAGTCAGTAAAACGTTGTAAATTGAGAGGATCAGTTGAGGTCAGGAGAGTTAGTAGAGTCTAAAGATCAATCTGACGATCAGTCTTAAAGCAAGAAAAGCAGGGAGAAACTTAGGCTTTATAATCATACTGATCATGATCATCATTCCGATCATTCACGATCACCAAACTCCAGTAGAAACTCGACTCAAGTTGGCTTTGATTTTGCAGCACTCTGGAGTATCACGATTGCGTGTCGGTGAATGCGCGCTGCCAGCGCATCTGCGATCAGTGGGATCGCTTGGGTGCCCTGACCCAGCGCCGCCGCACTGCACTGGATGAGGCTGAGCGCATCTTGGAGAAGATCGACATCTTGCATTTGGAGTTTGCGAAGCGTGCGGCGCCGTTCAACAACTGGTTGGATGGCACACGCGAGGATCTGGTGGATATGTTCATAGTGCACACCATGGAGGAAATACAGGGCCTGATCCAGGCGCACGATCAGTTCAAGGCGACGCTCGGCGAGGCCGACAAGGAGTTCAATTTGATTGTGAATCTTGTGCGCGAGGTTGAGTCGATTGTCAAGCAGCACCAGATACCCGGCGGCCTGGAGAATCCCTACACGACCCTAACGGCCCACGATATGACACGCAAGTGGAGCGATGTCCGCCAGCTGGTGCCACAGCGCGACCAGACCTTGGCCAACGAGCTGCGCAAGCAGCAGAACAACGAGATGCTGCGCCGCCAGTTCGCCGATAAGGCCAATGTGGTCGGTCCCTGGATCGAGATGCAGATGGATGCCGTCACAGCGATAGGCATGGGTCTGCAAGGCTCCCTGGAGGATCAGCTGCATCGCCTCAAGGAGTACGAGCAGGCTGTGTACGCATACAAGCCGAACATTGAGGAGCTCGAGAAGATCCATCAGGCCGTACAGGAGTCGATGATCTTTGAGAACCGCTACACGAACTATACGATGGAAACGCTGCGCGTCGGCTGGGAGCAGTTGCTCACCTCGATCAATCGCAACATTAACGAGGTGGAGAACCAAATACTGACACGCGACTCCAAGGGCATCAGCCAGGAGCAGCTGAACGAGTTCCGTTCCAGCTTCAATCACTTCGACAAGAATCGCACCGGTCGCCTGACGCCCGAGGAGTTCAAATCGTGCCTCGTCTCGCTGGGCTACTCGATTGGCAAGGACCGCCAGGGCGACATGGACTTCCAGCGCATCCTAGCCGTTGTCGATCCCAACAACACGGGCTACGTGCACTTCGATGCCTTCCTCGATTTCATGACCCGCGAGAGCACCGACACCGACACCGCCGAACAAGTCATTGATTCCTTCAGAATCCTGGCAGCCGACAAGGTGAGCATCCACACAGCGAATGTATTCCAGTCGACATTGTATTCATATATGCCTGCCTCTCTCCTCCCATTTAGCCATACATATTGCCCGATGAGCTGCGCCGCGAGTTGCCGCCAGATCAGGCCGAGTACTGCATCCAGCGCATGCCGCCATACAAGGGACCCAATGGAGTGCCCGGCGCCCTGGACTACATGTCGTTCAGCACAGCTCTCTACGGCGAGACCGATTTGTAAACGCACTCGATCATCCACTCAACAAGCACACTCGCACGCACACACACACACACACACACACACACACACACACACACACAGAAACACTCAAGCACACACACAGAAACACTCACCCACACACTCACGCACTCAATCACTCACACAGAGAGCTCGTCGGGTGGCAGGCAAACAAGCCCCAAAAGAAAAAATCATATAATAATTGCTAAACTCTAATAATAATAATATTAATAAACATAGATTTATTATTATGCTACACTCGTAAAGCTTAAACTCCAAGAAAGATGAGAAAATTATAATTTTTTGCAAATTATATATTGTACTTACGATACACATATATATATTTATATATATATATATATATCTATCTATATCTCGATATATATCATACATTACATTACATTACACTACATTACATCCATCTTCTTCAAGCCAATTGTAAACAGAGAATGAAAAACAAATGCATATCGAATATCTAAAAGAAAACAAACCACAAAACATCTAAACCATTATTTTTTGAAATTTATGTTAATAAAACAAACAAAAAACAACAAAAAAAAAAAAACGACAAGTTCTATACAAAACACGAAAATTGTGGCTAGAAACGTTGCAGAGGCACAATCGAATAGAGAGAGACAGATAGATGAACACATAAAACAGAGGTAGAGAGAGAGAGAGAGAGAGAGAGATACATACGAACAGCACACTAAGCAAATCAACTAGAAGGAGAGCGAAAGAGAGAGAGAGAGAGAGATGGCACTATATGCCATTTGGAGTACAGGCAAAACACAAAACTCGAAACACTAAAGAAACGGCCAATAAAGTAAACTATATCTATATATATATATACATACATATACATATATATGTATATAGCTATTTATTCATGTAAAGAAACTCGTATAACTTATTCATATTATATTTATTATATTTTTTTTATTTTCTTTTTGGTATCTCAGTTTTCAGCATTACAAATTCAACATAACAAACATTAATATTGGAAAATCTAACATTTTACAAACACACACACACACACACACACACACACTCACCTATACGAGCAAATGAAATAAATAAATTATTTGGTGATATTGTGTTTTAATATACAATGCCAATTTCATTTGGAAAGTGTCGCAACTTTGAACTTGATCCCCGGCGACTCGCCTCGCAAGCGCCCAGCAGTAGACTATGTTAGGTAGAAATCCTTCGTGGAACGAAAGGCATCTGGAACTTTGTCTTGAACCTGGAATAAGATGTGCTCGCTTTTTGGTTTTGTGTGGACAACAATGCTCAGAGCTTTCAGTTTATTGCCGACAGTAATCGAAATAAAACCATGATTAACATATACCGAGAAGTATATAGATATAAACATAAATCGTATTACTTATAGCATATGGGATTTATTTTGAAAATGTTCTCGCTGGAGATCGCAGCTAATTGGGATCTTTGCTTAAGTGTCTATAGAACTGAAATTAACAACTAACTAAATGTAAGTATACAGTTTGTAATTCATTAAAGAGCATAATATAATAAACACACTCACACACACACACACACTCGCACACATTCACACGAAACACGTGAAGGCAGAGCTGGCGTCGGTTTTGGTCCATTTTGTGGGTCCGTGGGACCCATGACATTTCGACGCAGCGGTTGGAAAAGTATTCTATATGTATATAAGTATATAGTGTCTAGATCTATTAATAAATATGCATTTACTCTCTTTTCTCTTTGTCTTTGTCACTCGCAACCGAAATATACTCAACATTCATAATTTTGTGTTTGTTTCGTTTTTATACGTTTATAAATACATTTGCAATGTTTTCAACAACAACAATTGAATCTCTCTTATGTTCATATATATATAAATATACATACATAAATATAACTATGCTTTATATATATATAGATATCTTATATATTAATTCTTTTGTATGCATTCTGAAAGCTTTCAATTTGAGTGCGATTTATTGTTTTGTTTTGCTTTGCTTTGCTTTGCTTTGCCTTTTGTTTGTTGCTTCGCTTTGTTTTGATAATTGATTTGATCGTCTTGTTGCCTTATCGATAACCGATAACGATAACAAAAACCTATGCCTAAATCTAAAAGATGGCATGGAACAAGTTGGAAACGGAACAGGAGAAATCGATGTAAATTGCATTTTTTTTAAATATAATTTTTGTTTATTGATTATTTGTTGTGTTTGTATTTTCTTGTTTATGTTTATGTTTATGTCTGTGTATAAATATTTACAAATAATAATTGAAATGAAACATAAATTAGTTTTATATATGTGTGTGTTATATACATATATATACATATATACATATATATACATATATATTTATATATATATATATATATATATATATATATAAGTATGTATGTATGTATAATTGAAAAATAATTTCTATATGTAGCTTGGATATTCCTTTTAAACTCATTTTCGATTTCTTGTCGCAGTGTAATAATTAAATTATAAAAAAAAATTAAGCTTAAACTGAAAATTAACTCTAACTTTTCTTCATAGGGTATGTATATATGTGTGTATGTGTGTGGGTGTGTGAGTGAGTGTGCGTATGTATGTGTGTGTGTTATGTTAATAAAGAAACCAATCGGAGCAGACAGCTTAGACAGATTGCACAAACAAAAAGCCCCAAATGGACTTTAAACATACAGTAAAGCCCTCGCCCACGAAATCCAAGCACAGCTGCTGTGTTGTAGCTTCGATGTTGGGGGTATTCGAATACATATATATAATATATGGATGTTCATTGAATGGAACACATTTTGGCAGCTTTTGGTTTGTGCTCTGCGAAAGAGTAGAAATATATTCCCTCTCTCTCTCTCTCTCTGTTTCTGTTCTGTCCTTTGCAACTGCTGATCTATATCTATATATAGCCTATATGTAATGAGAGCTATATAGTATTCATATAATGTATGCTGGTATGCTAACCACTAGCAATTTGGTATCTATAATACACGAATGCCCAGTTATTTCTCAACTTCTCCCTTCCTTTGCTTTATGTGCTCTAAGGTCTAATAAAAAAATAGATTAATATATATATATATCTATATATATATCTATATATATATATATATATAGTATTAATGTATGGTATTTCTGTTCTGATCTATCGTGTAACGATGTTAACTTTGAAGGCTGACTTAAAAACACATGGTTAATAATTAAAACACACACCGTATAACATAATACTAAATACTACCAAGTATATATGCCTAACACAATATATATATATATATATATATATATACATATATTTATATATATATACACATGATGTAGCTGCATATCCTTTACTTTCCTTTTCTTTCCCTTCTCATCTTTGTCGTTAAATTCTTCAGCTCTCTCCCTCTCTTTCGCATCCATTTGTATAGTTTTCAACTCTAGCTGTATATATATATATATATATATAGATAGATATACATATATATGGTATATACTATACATAAGCCTAATCTATCTTTAAGTTTTGTATATTCTCTTCTTTTCATTTTACTCCTGCTTGGTTCGTCGCTTCTTCGCTTCTTTTGTGGTTGATTCTTATTGAATACATGCTTTATTCTTAAGCCTAAAGAAAACACCCTGACTCTGATCTCTGATCTCTGATCCAACTTCCCTTTCTCTCGGTCACCTTATATTAGTTTATATCTTTTAAAATGCATATGCTTTTGCTTCCCTTTGCTGCTTTCTTTATGCAAATTAGTTTCTGTTCGATTCGCTTTCCTTCACTGGCAGGATTTTTAGTTCTTTCTATCTCTAGTTGCAAGCTTCTGGCCAATCATCAGTCCTTATGCCCGCCGGCATCCCCCGTCGATTTACCTCCTCCGCCGGCCATGTGCTGCGGAATCACCGTCAATGTTTTGGGTATTTTGGACATGATGACGTTGTCGATGAGCTTCTGCTGCTGCTGCTGTTGTTGCTGCTGCTTTAGGGTGAATGTTATCCCACTGCCCAATCCGGTGCTCGTGGCCGTCGTCGACTTGCCGCCTGTCGAGTGAGACAGCTTGTTGGCTGCGGCTGCGGCAGCTGCAGCTGCTGCGGCACCATTCAATAGATACTGATTGGCATCCGGAAAGTTCTTCCACAGCCACGAGCTGTTGCTGTCCATGCCGGAGCTGCTGTTGTTGGCAGCAGCTGTTGCCGCTGCCAGCGCATTGCTCAGCAGCGGCTGAAAGTTCGAAGGATTTGCTCCAGTGGCGTTGCCACCAGCTCCACCTCCAGTGGCATTCTGTGGATTGCTCAGAGGCGGCATCGGCTTAGGAGCGAGCCTTGCCAGGCGTAGGGCACTGCTAGCTGCAACACCTCCTGGCTGCAGCGTGGGCAGTTGCTGGTATTTATGTTGCTGTTGCTGCTGCTGCTGTTGCTGCAGCTGCTGCAGCTGCTGACGCGCCGTTTGCTGCGCTGTCATCTTACTCATGGCCACAAAGCTCTGCTGCTGCGACTGCTGTAGTGCCTGCTGCTGTTGTTGCTGCTGCTGCTGCTGCTGCGAGTGCTGCGACTGTTGCTGCTGCTGCTGCTGGGTTGTCTTCGACTTGGCGTTCGCTTTGAGCACCTGGTCGCGCAGCAGCTTCTCGCGCCTCAATATGCACATCCGATTGTAGTCAATGATTGAGATAAGGTATGGCTTGCCGCCGGACTGCACCTGCACCTGGGCGGGCAGACGCCGCCCGTCGGCTGTTTGGAAAAGCGTCGGCGACTTGCTGGGCACTTTGTGCTGCTCCTTGAGCGGTATCAGCGTCGGCTTCCAGCTCTTGCTCTCGTGCCGCTCCTGCGGAGTCAGCGTGTCCGGCAGCATTATCACACTGGGCCCCGGCCCACCGCTACCACCGCCGCCACCACCGCCCGATACAGCGCGCGGAAGCTGCAGGCGCTTGCCCGCCAGCGCTGGCAGCGTCGCCGTTGCAGAGGCGGCGCCACTCGTGCGTCGGCGCTGCAGGCTGATCAATTCCGGAGGCGAACTAAGCAGCTGTGCCACATTGGGAGGCGCTGATTTTTGCGCTGCCTGCTGCTGTAGCATTGTAGGCGTGGCATTGGCCAACAGTGGCTTCGACTTGGGCTGCTGAGGGAGCAACTCGCCGTGGCTCTGGCTGCTGAACTGCTTATTGGCCATGTCCAGCAGCTTATGCGGCTTCTCGCTGGATGCAGCGGCAAGCTTGTGATTGGGCTGCTGCTGCTGCTGTTGCTGTTGCTGTTGATTGACCAGCGGCACAATCTCCACCGCCTTGTTCATGCCCAACAAATTGGTCTTGAGAATGCTGCGACTGTTGGACGCACTGGTGGGCACCAGCGGCGGAGCATCCTTCGACTGCAATGTTTTGCCCGGCGAGTCGTCGCCCACAGCAACGGCTGGGGTGGCACTTGAACTGCCGCCGGTGGACTTGGCGCTGTCTTTGGGCCGCGCTATGATTGTAACCGCATTGGAGCTGAGCTGCTTCGTGAGCTTATCCACGGAGACGTTGCGCAGGTGATCGAGTGGCAGCAGTCCACACTCATCCTCCTTGTCCATATCTTCCTCGTCGTCATCGTCATCGTTCAGCTCCACAAGCGGAATGACGGGCTCCAGCTGGCCAGACGACGACTGTTCCAAGCTGTTCTTATTGTTGCCAGTGGCTTGAGGTGCAGTCAGGGCGCTGGCTAACACGCTGCCGCTTCCAGCATTGGGAGAACAGGAACTGCTGGCATTGGCTGACGGGTTGACAGCATTCGGTGAGGAGGATGACGACGACGACGATGAGGAGGCGGCGGCGTTGACGACGGCATCGGCGGGTGGTGCGTTCGCGCTGGCATTTGCCTTGGCATTGCTTTGCAAGCCACCGCAATGGCCATGATCATAGGAATTGAGACGCTGGCGCACAGTTTGTGTGTAAACGCTGGCATTGGAGGAAGCGTGAGCGGCCAGTACCAGATCTCCACTGCGATAATACTTCTCCAACAGAATGAGATGGCGCAAAAAAGAGCTCTGATTGCCATATGGCTTCTGTAGCTCCTCCCAGAGTCGACGCGTCGGCTCATCGTACTGCAGGAAGGTTTGAACACGCGTCCAGCCTTCGGGCGTGCGCTGACTGCTGCTGCAACCAAACGGCACCTTGAACTGCACACCCAGATCCTCCTCGCCGTGAAAGAGTTCGCGCATGGAGATGTTCGGATTGCCACGCAGCACATTCGAAATGTCGGCGCCTGCCTTGCCCTTCGCACTCGCATTGGCATTGGCAGTGGCATTGGCATTAGCATTGGCATTCGCATTGGAATTTGAATTGGAATTAGAGGTGCAATTTGCGACGGCTGCGACATCCCCAGCTAGATTCTGTTGGAGTATGGCCTGCAGCTTGGACATCTGTTTGCTGGCGCTGTTCGCATGCCCAATGGGCGTCGTTGAAGAGCTGCTCGAATTGGAATCGGTGGGGCCATCATAGTCCACGACCATGGGCAGCTCGCTGGAGGCATCATCACATGCAGCAGTTGGAGCAGTTCCAGCTGCCGTTGCAGTCGTGGCATCCTCCTCATCCACCTCGGAGGCCTCGTTGCTCCCCTCCTGCAGATTGTGGACCTTAAGCAGCCTGCAGGAATCATTTATTAAGCAACCTGCATCTGAATCATATTGTAGCATTTGCTTACCTCTTGCGGTAGTTCTTAACGAACTCCGCCTTCTGGGATTTGGTACTATCCGGCGGTTTCATCAGCAGATTGGCAAAGTACCGACACAGCTTGCAGACGGCAGTGCCAACGCCCAGCTGCACAGGTATACCCATCTCAGTGAGCGCCTTCTCCAAGCGATCAGTGTCCTGCTGAGAAACTAATAAGTATGCAGATTGTACATATGCATGCATAGAAGCTTACCGAGGTAATATGATACATGTGGTTCTTGCCCAGACGACGCTTGCAAAGCACACAGCCCGAGGATTGGATGACCGTATTGTAGTGCGGTTCACATAGCCAGACGCTCGAGGTGCCCGGCGGTATCTCAAAGTTTAGCAGGCACTTCTTAACGCTCTTGCGCACGCATTTGCGCCTCAGCGAGTGGCTGGCCGCATCAGCACAGTCCTTGACAGCGCAAGCACGCTGCGCCGCCGAGCCGGAGACGGCGCCGGACGAAGTTGTCGCAAACTCGGCGTCGCCAGCTTCCCCGGCGAAATGCTTGTCCAGGCTGTTGCCGTTGCCGCCGCCAGTTGCGCTACCCGTCTCCAGGTGGCCGGGCGCCGAGAGGCGTTTTTTGTATGAAGGTGCATTGGCACGACGATCCACATGACGGAAACAGGCGTCGCACAGGCAATTGTCCACAGTCAGTTTCTCCTCATCTGCAGCGCAAATTGTATGAGTACATTGATATAATAAGAGCATGTTGCATGCCACCTACTTGCAAGTATCTTTTGCTGACGCTCCACAGACTTGATCTGGCCCACGTGGCAAGGCGTGTCGTATAGTCCAAACTTGCCGCTGCAATAGTAGCACTGATCCTCGCACAGGCGACCGGGATGAAACTTGAACGAAGACGCTTTCTCCGGTATCAGAATCTTTTCCTTTTCATCTTTCTTAACCATCTGATAGAAGCCGTGCTCCATTTGACCGCCATGACCTTCGGAGTGCGACGAATCTGTGTACGCAAAAAGCATTTACATATATAAACAAACGGACTTCATATATAAACTGAAGGAAACGAGTTAAATGAGCTATAATTGATGATAAATTTAACACTTGAAGAGGCCTAATTGCTGCATGCCCGAATTGATTAACACCTGAGGAATTGCCTGGTATAAGAAAGTCGGGCAGATGCAGTAGAAGTTGACTCACTGCCAGCCCTGCGAGGGCCGAGTATAACAGAACTTAAAGTGGCTTAAATCAAGTCTAAGGCTATGCGACTGAATCAACTAATAGCGATTTGATAAATGGGGAGCCAATCGAAGGCGAACAAAACAAAAACAAAATCAAGAACAATAACAAATGCAACACTCAAACAAACAGTCGGCCACCAACCCAGGAAATTCTTGGAGGACGCATTGTTGTGCTGTTGTTGCTGTTTTGCTGTTTGTTGTTGTTGCTTTTGCTGCTGCTGCTGCGGCTGCTGATTGTTATTATGGTTGTTAAAACGGTTAGTTGTCTTGCGTCCCGCGCTACCCGCGTTATTCAAATTGTTTCGATTGCCCGCACCTTCGTTCTGTAAATGAAAAGAGGGAGGGGATTAGCGAATGTTTGAAAGGTGCGCCAGCTCCAGCTCTCTGCCTGGCTTACCTCATTCTGTATGGTGTAGTAGGAGTCCTCAGCATGGGCCCCGTGCTGATCGGCCGCACGATCGGCAGCGCCATGTCCTCGTGCGCGTCCTTTTTGGAATGTCATCTTGAGCGACTGGCGACGAACGCCGTGCGCCGAGCTGCCAACATTGCCAGCGATACCACCTTTCCGTGTGGCGCTACCCATGCTGCTGCTGCTGCTGCTGCTTGAAGCTGCTGTGCCGCTCGTGCCAATGCCACCAGCTGGGCAGATGCCAGCGCCATGCACTACAGTGCCAGTGGGTACACCAGTGGCGCCGCCTGAACCGCCGTTACTGCTGCGATTCAGCTTGATGACGGTCTTCAAGGTGCCGCTCGACTCGATGTGCGACGCGCTGCTCCCTTTGCCCGCTGATCGCTTGCCGCTCTGATGTTGCTGCTGCTGCTGCTGGTGGTGCACGGCACGCGTGTGCGTGTGTATGAATTCCTGGCGCACCTGTTCGGCAGCCTGGTGAGTGAGCAGGCCGAGATGCTGCAGATGCCGTTCCTTTTCGCGACGCAGGTCGTCGTCGCTATCCGGCGACAGCTTCAGCTTGCCATTGGCTTCCGCTTTGGGCAACTGTTGCTTCTGTTCGGCTGCAACAGCAGCCAATGGTTTCTCCTCCTCCAGCTCGGAGAGTTCCTGTTCCAGCTTAGTGCCCGTTTCCGCTTTGAGTGCCAGCTCCAGTTCCATAACGGTTTCCGGACTAACTGGTGCTGCGACAGCAATCGCATCTGTTGTCGCCGTGGACACATTCTCTTTGTTCTCCTCGGGATAATCGGCGGAGTCTTCGGTTAGGATTTGCATATCGGTGTCATCGTCGGCCACAGCATTCGCTTCCGCTTCCTGCTCTTCGGTCAGTGGCTCCACCTCTAGTGCGAGCACCATTTCAGTCGTCACCTTCTTGGAGGATCGCTCTGGCAGCTCCGACTCCGGTGCCGTATCACATTCTTCATTGGATGCCACCAGCTGCTCCTGATCGTGTTGTTCATTGTGCTTGCTGGCGCTTAGCGCATTGCCGCTGGCATCGACGACGCCTTCCTTGGCCAGCTGTTCCATAATCTCGCTTTCATAGTCATCATCATCGTTGTCTGCTTTAGCCGCCAGCTCATCCTCTTTGGCCTCGCCATTCAGCCCGCTCGGCGAGCTCTCGGCTTCAGTTACACTTTCCACTTCTGCTTCCATCTCGGCTAACGTTGCCTTTTGAGCCTCGAGCTCCGTGCCATCGCAGCTTTCATCAATGCGCAGCTCCTCCATGGTCGCAGTGCTGGACTCCAACTCTGCCTCCGGTTCCAGCTCAAGCTCAGCGCCTTCCGCCTGGACTGCCTCGTCTTCAGCAGTGGTAACAGCTACAACTGTTGTTACTGTTGGAGTTTCTGTCTCGCTTGCAATTTGCACAATCTCGCCCAGCTCCGGATCCTTCTCGATCCCGAGATTGTTAGCCAGGAACTCGGGTTTCTTATAGAACTGCTTAACGCTTATCGCGCTGACTCCTTCGCTTATCAGCTCAGGGCTCAAGGATGGCGCTTTGCCATCAGCATTCGATTCGGTTTCGCCCTCGCCCTCGCCCTCGGGCGGCACATTCTCTGCCTGCTGCCGTTCGTGTCCCGCAGCTGTTTCGATGTCCACGGTCAAGGGCTCAATGCCGTTGGCTGCAGCAGCGGATGTGGACGCCGTGACTTCTGACTCCGTCTCCATGCTCTTGACATCGAGACTCTCCTCGAAATCATTCACTACTTTTTCCTGCTTGATGTCTTCGGCAGCCAGTAAATGTTCGTCCATTGAGGTGGAAGTCAGACTGTCCTTGGAGTCCTCATCGCCAGCTGCGCCGCCCGTTGAGCTGGCGGCCAGCGAGCTGGAACTGACAGATGCCGCTTTAGCGGACAGCAGACTTCGGTTTGCCGAGCCCACGCGCCTTCGCTTGGGCGGCGTTGGCTCTGCGGGCGTTGATGTCGGCGTGGTCACTGTGCCACCAGCTAGCAAACCTGGTGAGCCCGCCTTGCTGTTGCGCGTGGCACGCGTGCTTGCAGCAGATGTGACGGGCGTTCCCTTCGTCTGCGGCCTGCCGCGTCCGCGTCGATTACCTGATTGCGGTGTAGGTGTGGGTGTGGGTGTAGGAGTGGGCGTGGCAGCGGGTGATTGAGAGCCATGAGCAGACTGCTCTTCGTTGTCCGGCGGCTCCAGCTTAATGGTCAGCGTGGTTTTGGCATCTTCCGTGGCACACGTACTCGCAGCATCCTGTTCGTCCTCCTCGTCCTTGAGCTCGACCTTGGCATACTTGAGGCCCAGTTCGGCGTCATCGTCAGAACGCTTTCGCTTCAGCACTTGGTTTTGTTGCTCCTTAGGCTCCGGCGGAGCGGGCTTTTTTCGACGACCACGCGCCGGCAGCTGTGGCTCATTGTTGACTGTCGATGATTGTCGCCGATTGCGGGTAACCCGTGTGTTGTTGTTGTTGTTGTTGTTATTGTTGTTGGCCAGCGCTAGCTCCTGGGCGTGCGCTTTGCGTGTAACGCGGTTGCACGTGTTTGATGCTGTGGCTGTGGCTGCTACTGCTGCTGCTGCTGCTGCTGTTGATGTGGGTGGTGGCGCTGTGGATGTGGATGTGGGTGTGGGTGTAGTTTCCTTCTCCTTTTCTTTACAGTCCTTGGTGTCCTTCTCCTTATCTCTATCGCTTGGTTTTGCATTGGCATTGGCATTGTCTTTTGTGTCTTTCGGTTCCTTCGGCTCGTTTGTTGCCTCCTGCTCGAGCATGTCAATGGCATCGGTGGATTCCTCCTCCTTGACCAGCAGCTCCTCCACTGGCTTAGCGGCTGCTTCTTTGGCTTCTTTTAGCTCTTTGATCGACTTGCGGGAGCGTTGCAGCTGCGCATTGCCTTTTTGGCTGCTGCCGCTGGGCAGTTCATCGCTATCGCTGCCAACTGCCGTTGTCACTGAGTCAGCTGTGTCGCGTGCATCTCGCTTGGTGGTCGGCGACCAGTTGTGTAGTAGCAGCGGCGAAGAGTGACGCGTGACGCGCACATTCTTGGCTGCCAGTGCCTCGGAGCAGGATTTGCGTGGCGTGCCGCATTCCGTTACCAGAGGTGAGGGATCACCTGTTCGTTCTATTATTTCTGTGTCCGGATGTTTATCCTTATCCGTTTCCTGTTCAGCATCAGCCGCATCTTCAGCGAGTGCTGCTCCTGCTATTGATGTGTCTCCAGTGGCTGCTGCTGCTGCTGTCGCACCATCCTCGCCTTGCGCCACGTCCAGCTCAAGTGTGGGCGAAGTATTGTTGTTATCCGTCTTTGCCCCTACTGCCGATGCTGCTGCCACTGGCTTACGCGCCGACATCCTCGAGCGGTCACTGGGCAATGCTGGTGACGCTGCAGTCGACGATGTCGACGCTCCTATTTTGACGCTTGAGCTTCGTTGCTCGCCGGCTGCTCCACCGAATCCAGCTGCAGCTGCTGCTGCTGTTCGTGCTCAGCCTGAATCTTGAAAATCTCTAGCTGCACTTTAACACACTTTAAGTCGTTGTGATTTGGTCCCATTTGTTGACTACCTGTAAAATATTGTTGAATAAATATAAACACATTAGTTAATTGTATCTTCAATCAGAATGTCTGTTAAAACATATGAGGAGTTTCTCCTCTAACATTTAACATTTAACATTTTATATCACGAATATTACACATACGCCATGTGGACGTTGTAAACGACAAAAAGTTAGGCAACAGGCACCAGGAACAGGAAAGGGTTAACAGCTCTGTTAGAATTGCAAAATATTTATATACACACTCACACTCACACTCTCACGCATGCACATATAGATCACATAGTGAGTGTCACTTGCACCCCGTCAGCTTTTGCTGCCCCTCCCTCACAAATGGTAGCCAAAAAGCAAAACGAGTTTGAAAGCCATAACTACAACAATAGCCGTAGCAGCTGGGGCCGCCTGAAAGAGAAAAAAAACTAACACTACGAGCTACAGAGAGCGGGGAGTATACAAGCATTCAAATTGTGAGCGCAGCAAATTCATTGGCAGAAAGCGAATTTAGAGCGTCGCTGCTAACATCAACTGAGGCGAGCGCACATTGCGAATAATTACTGTAGCAAAAGAAATGCATACTCAAAAATAAATAAAACTAAGAAAACACGATAAGCATTTAGCCTGCTGATCCTGTCACTTTATTAAACGCAATAAACGCAGCGACGACGCTCGTGTGAGTTGACAGGCGCCATTTTTTTTGCGTTGCCTGTCAATAGAGAACACAGAGCGAGAGTCACAAAATTGGTTTGTTAAATTGTTTTTGGCAATATGCAAGCAAAATTGGGCGCTGTGTTATTCATTTGCAGCGAAAATCGAGCACGTAAAACACGACCTTCGCCTGGTCAGTGTAATTCTTGGGCTGCAATTGTATAAGCAGCACCAGCAGCATAAATACAGGAGAAAATCGGCCTCCATTTCCCACATCCACTTACACAAGTACAGAGCACAAAACGGATTTAACGTCACTCTCACACACACACACACACATTCAGTGGGTACGTTGTTCACAATCTCACGTACACTAATGCAGCAGTGCGCTCTTCATCGTAAAATGACAAGCCGAAGCCGCCACCACCCTCTGCAACGAAGGCGGTGGAAGTTGAAACAGAAATGACAGCGACAACAAACAGCGAATAAAGGAAACAAAAGCAAATCGCAAATAACAAAATCAAAATGAAGTATACATATTAATACACATATAAAAAAAAATCAATTGTTAATACACACATACGTACGAAGAGTATGCATAAAAAACGAAGAAGGAATTAAAAGAATTGAGCCCTAATGCAGTTGTAAACACACTTATAAGCACACGCGCACGTAGCAGCAGCGGTCCGGGGGCTTTAGCATTGTCTAGTTTGTTTTGTCCTCTTTCATTTTTTTCAATTGTCAAATTTACGACTCTTACTTTTAATGGCGTTGATAAAAAAAATAGTTTAGTTTTGTTTAAAATGTTTGTCCGATCAAATCTGGCTTCTAGTTGTATGCTGCTGCACAGCGTTGCCGCACGCAGAGATGTAGGGGTAAAAGTATCGATAGCATCAAAAGTATCGTTCCCAACATCGATATCTAAATTTTGACCGTTTCGATGTTTTATGGCTCCGGAAATTGCTACATTTGCAAATATAAAATCAAATTTGACCGCATCACCGAAAGTTAAGCAGCAACTAGTGTGTAAGTGTACACGCCGAACATTGTATTGGATGCATTCATTGGATTTGAATTTTTTGTTTTTTATGTACGCCGCACGTGCTGCGTTAGTAATCGTGTAGAAATGGATCACGTTAGATCAAGTGTGCAAATGGCTAAGAAGGTGCATACCGCCTAGTTTTAAAAAATCCAAGCTAATTGCAGGCAAGTAACACATTTAATAGTATTATAGCAGTCAAGTATTTATAAAAATTTCGTTTCATAGTAAATTAAACGGATCAATTAAACCACTTTTACAAACAAAAAAATGTAAACAAAAAATTTGCAAAAATTGACAACTTTATTAATCAATTGTCTTTTTTGCACTGAAAGTTTTCAATTACTTTTATAACATTTGGTCACACTGGAAGCACAAATTAGCGCCTTTTGAAGCATTTGTATACATTTGAAATGAATTCCTTAAGCCAAATAAAGCTTAATAGTTTTAACTGTATTTAAAATTCATAAACATGAAACATGCCTAGATGTTCAAGTCGGGGGGCCAAACCTGCCTGCAGGTGGCCGGGTTAAGCAGCTGCACAGAAGATTCACCTGCTACAGATGACGAGTAGCATTTAAAAAAAGGGTGCACCAGTTGATTTATTTATTAAATTGTTGGGAATAAATAAATAGCCAAATTAAATTAAGCTGATAGAATTGATTTGTTGTTTTTAGGCAATTTGTTTGGGTTTAAAGCAGTTTATATCATTTTTGAGTTTTCTTTTTAATTATGCATGGGAGCATTTTTGTTTGCGAATGATTTGCCATATACGCATACTTGCGAAGATTTCGATGTATGTGTACATGTACATAAACAGCTCTCGCACGCACACCCGAGCAACACATGCACACACATTCACAAACCAACATACACAGCGGGCACATAGCCACAACGACGATACTTACTTAATTCTCTTTTTTCAGAGTCGCCTTCGCATCATTTGCGAATTTTCCGCATTTATTGTTATTCAATTGTACCGAAATCAATCCGCAATCGTTAATAAATTCAAAGTCGGTGGAAACGCGGTCAGTTTGATATACAAATGTACGAAAAAACTGCACAATCCAAAGCAGAGAAAAACAAAAAAAAAATAATAATAATAAAATAAAATGCAGAACCCGAACCGACAGAGTTGTGAACGCAAACACGGTACAAAGTGAAATAACAAGGCAAAATGGCAGCGCACAACGCCAAAGAGAGCGAGAGCGGCAAGAGAACAAGAGAGCGTCACAACGGCGAAATATGTATTCGCCGCCGACTCTGACTCGACCACATGTAAGTGCTATCTCTGAGATACATTTATACCCTACACACTAGTCCCGACTTGAAAGCGACACAACAATAATGTATGCTTTAAAAGGACTTAAGAAATTATTCCAAAGGTATTTTAGTAATAAAATAATAAACAAACAGCTTGAGAATGCAATATTATCGATATATATCGTCGGATAGTCGTTACTAGATCCTAGACAGTCCACTCAATAGTTTAGGCACAGATTCATACGCAATTTTACACGCACACAGACACAAGTACATACAACACACATACAATAGTACACACACATTCAATCTAGTAAATACACACACACGCGCCGAATAACAGTTTTTGAAAGCATATTTGAAAAGTTTTGAGAACTTACTCTGAAAATGTGGTTCAGTGAGTAGAGGTAGGGCACGCACAAGTCGATGTGCGCCCGAAACTTGTCTACGCTTACTTGTTTTGTGCTCTGCCGCGTTGCTGGTTTTGGCCTGGTGCACGACATCCACTGCAAGGACTACAGCTAAGAGCAAACGCTTCGTTTTCGGCTGGGGGTAGCAATAAAACTAAAACTAAAGACTTTCAAGCAACTTATGGCATACAATATTATGTACTTCGATTCGCCTGATGTTGCTGCTGAGTTTTCGCTGTGCTTTTTCGTATGCAAATTCATTTATTCATATCGCTTTTGTCGCTGATTTTCTTTAACAGTTGCTGCTGCCGCCACTGCCACCGCCACCTCAGCTGCTGCTGCTGCTGTCACTCTTCTCTCTTCTGTTAATTTTGCGTGTTTTAATCGGAAATGAAAGAGGCAATGGATTTTGATTTAAATATGGCGCAAGTACTAAAGTCCCGAACGGATGCATAACATTTTGAAACAACAAAGCAACAATTTAACTATTGAAATATATATTTGTATTCCGTTATTGCTCAGGCATTTGTATTGGTAAACGAAAGCACGACGAAAGCACACGATGTTGCTCTTTCGCTTTTTCTTTTCAATTATTTTTCTTTTTGTTTTGTTATTGTGTCGCCCACGAGCTGGCGACGCTGAGTGAAGTGGAGAATCCTGCAAGTGGCAGGCTGAGTCCAGTTTTCCTTTTGATGACAACACACGCACACGCACAGGTGTATGTGTGTGTGTTATTATATGGGTTAAAGGCCAACTTAATTGCCCTGCAAATTGCTCATTGTGCCACTTGGACGCGACCAAAGGGCAAAGGGAAAATCAATAGACCACTATATGTACATATCTAGGCGTCTCACTAACAATAATGGGGGTTTAACAAAGGTTTTTCGACAAGCGTATATCTTGTCTGTATGTAAACAAAAAAATAAAAACACACTTTCAACTGGGTCAAGGTCAAAAGGATGGACCAAACTAGGACATTGCGTAGCTTCATACCATCCTGCGCTGCCAGCCTACTATGCTGTTATAGCTGATGCGTATGCAAAAGCTGCTGCAAGTTAATATTCTAAGAAGTCAAGGATATTCTTGGTCAGCAAGGATCAAGCTCACAGTTGGCGTTAATTGTATTGTCTTTATTGAATTGCTTAAATGTTCATATTATAAATTACGGAGTTATCAATTTCATAGTCTCCTTTAATAGAAAAACAAACAATGTTATGTAAATGACGATCTGAAGATAATGGCCGCCAGCATATCGATAAATTGGTTCACAAATACAGACGTTATTTATGTACAGACAAGCACACACATTCATACGCACGCAAAAATCAAGCATGACACACATGCAGCCGTATGTACATACATTTGGATGGAAAAAGTCGCCTTTTAATTGTTTTCTGCAGGCTTTCATAGCACGCCCACTGCATTAATTTCACCTTTATATGCCTGTGGATACATAGAGCACATATATCTGCAATACATACGCATGCATGCATGCATACATGTACATAAAATAATATGGCAAGTAGAAACTGTGGGCTCTGGCAGACACATTAATGTACATACATATGTACATACATAGATACGAACATGTACATTTGCAGCACACACACGCATGCATATGTATTTAAGCGCTGAAGGCAACAGAAATTGGAAAACGCAATGGCCGACAAACGCCACGCAGCTATCAGCCATGAATCTCAAGGTAAAGCAGAAGCAAGAATATGCGAATATCAATGGGCAGGCATAATGCACAACAATAAACGGATGAAAAATGAAAAGAAAACTTCCGGCAAAGCTCAAGCTCAACACTAAATGGTGAAAAACACATATACTCACACACATGCCCAATATTCGCCCAGACTAAGAGAAACCAAACCCATATTCATGCATTCGTTTGGAAACCCACGTGAATCGGAGAGCGAGAATCATTAAGAACAGAAAAGATATGGAGGAATTGAGAGAGGGACAGAGAGAGTGAGAGTGCGAGCGATGTGATCGCGATTGCGAGATGTTTGCGGCGAATTCAGAGAGTTTCCATAAGCATTGTTGTTGGTTAATTTTCTTTAGTTTCGCCATGAGAAAAGCCAAGTACCTTTGTTTTTTTTTTATATATGCACACCGATATATACATAAAAGCACATTTTACATTTGAATATGCATTTACACATACACATGTATGCATATATTTGTATGTACAAATTTAAGCATGTGTACGAACTGCTTTCGGCTGACGTGCTGTTTATTGCTCCGTTTCTCTCTCTCTTCGTCTTCGTCTGCTTGACCGACATGCCAGCGTCATTTATACGCCATATTGGATTGTCTCAGAACGCCATTAGCAATTTTCTCTTGTTTATTGTGACCCTTTCAGCTGACTTTAGCTGTAATGCTAGCTATCATTCGAAAGCTACACCTATGGGCTTTACGTTTTAAGGCAGAAATGGTCTATTAAAGTCATTTTAATTTGCTAGAATTGGAATCAAAAATGTTGGCATTTAACAACATTTGTTGTCACATAGTTGAGCGTTGCCAGAAAGGTGAATGGCAGCACTGTCAGCTGTTGCCTTAACGCAGACAACTGGCAGCTCTGTGCAGGAACAGGGCTGGCTCAACGCCGGCATACAAGACATTATTGGGGAAATAATAAAAATTAATAAATATGTTGTACAAATGTCTTCTATTGCTGCTCGCAATTATTCAAATCAGCGGCGCTGAACATGTGAGTAAAGCAAATAAAAGGCTGAAAAACTGATATACAAATTATAATCTGATTCCTTTTATAGGAGACCTCAGTACTGCCAGAGGCCTATGTAGACGCCGCTCAACGCTCGACACATACGAACAACTGGGCTGTATTGGTGGATGCATCGCGTTTCTGGTTCAATTATCGTCATGTGGCCAACGTGCTGTCCATTTATCGTTCTGTCAAGCGTCTCGGCATACCCGACTCGCAGATCATTTTGATGATTGCCGACGATATGGCCTGCAATGCGCGTAATCCACGACCGGGCCAGGTGTACAACAATGCCAATCAGCACATTAATGTGTATGGCGATGATGTGGAGGTGGATTATCGCGGCTATGAGGTAACTGTCGAGAACTTTGTCCGTCTGCTAACGGGCCGCACACAAAACGGTACTGCACGCTCCAAAAAATTGCTCTCGGATGCGGGCAGCAATGTGCTTATCTATTTGACTGGACATGGCGGCGATGGCTTCCTGAAATTCCAGGATTCCGAGGAGATAACCAGCCAGGAACTGGCCGATGGCATACAGCAAATGTGGGAAAAGAAACGGTTTGTATACTATGATAATACATTGAATTTGTTTGTGCCTGCGCCTAACTGCTGTCTTTGCTCACTTCCAGCTACAACGAGCTCTTCTTTATGGTCGACACTTGCCAGGCGGCGTCGCTGTACGAGAAGTTTACATCGCCCAACGTTCTGGCCGTAGCCAGCAGCCTGGTCGGCGAGGATTCGCTATCGGTGAGCTGGGACTCCGCTCTAGCAAACTGTTGTAGACAATATCTATTTTGCAGCATCATGTGGACCCCTCGATTGGCGTTTACATGATCGATCGCTATACCTACTATGCACTGGAGTTTCTGGAAAAGGTGCAGCCATTCAGCAAGCGCACGATTGGCGAATTTGTAAGCTGCCAGCATGATCCTTAAACTTAGTTCATTGAAATGTTCATTTGTTTGCTTGCAGCTGCAAGTGTGCCCCAAGCGCGTCTGCATCTCGACTGTCGGCGTTCGCAAGGATTTGTATAGACGCGATCCGCACAAGGTGCCCATCACAGATTTCTTTGGCGCCATACGGCCGACACGTGTGTCCACAGATCGCATCAATGTGACGCTGGCCAACGAGGAGTATGTTGAGACGAAATAATATTAACTATATAAATTGGAGCAGTCAATAATTTTTCATTCTAATACATCTTGCAGGGACTTTGTCAATGAGGTGGCCCATGTACAACCAAAGAAGCAGTTCAAGATCATAATAGAACCGCAATTCACAGCAAAAATCTTGAAATAAGCAATGAGACCTAGACTTAGACGTGTTTGATGAAAAAATAAATGAGTTCCAAATGTACACATTTCATGTGATAATATTAACTTTATTCGTAAATACATTTCATTTCATTAATTTATATCATTATTATTATTATTATTATTAATACAATGTGTAATTTATTAAGTGTGTGTGTGTGTATGAGTGTCTCGAATCGTGCTTAAAATTTGTCAATTTCGGGCTTAGTTCGTTTCATTATTTTGTTTTCTCTCTTATTATATTTTGCTAACATTTCATATTTTTTGGTTTTGCTTTCCTTTGCCCATTTACATCAATGTTAAATTATATTATATTGATTCCTTTTCGTTTTCTCTTTCATCTTTTTACCATCAAACTTTCGCTAATCCATCAAGTAACATTTAATTTAAATTCCAAAACTAAACAAAATATGATGTATATATAATATATTTATATATATATGCTAATGTGTGTGTGTGTGTGTTGTATATATTTATATAAAACGCTTGAGCCAGTCCTTATGCCTGGACACTCGTACAGCAAGTAGAGTCCTTGCATATGCTGCCGAAAAAAAAAACATTTTGTCTAATAGCTATTCTCTCAATTTTCTTCATTTTTCGTTACTTATACACAAAAAATGTTTATTTTTTTTATTTTTATAATTTTTTTAAGAGTAACAATGGCATTTTCCCACACTGTTAGCAGGACGACGTTTTCTCTATCCTTTTGTTGATTTATGTGTTTTTTTTGTTTTTATAAGGATTTTCCTTGTTTTTTTCTTTATATATATTATTTTCATTTTTTTTGTTCTTTTAATTTCATCGTGAAAAATGCCAGATAATATATATATATATAATATATATATATATATATATATATATATATATATATATATATATATATATATATATATATGTATATATATATATGTGTGTGTGTAAGTTTATTAGCTTTTATTGCATCAGTCCCATTTGTTTTGAGTTGTTGTGTTGATCGGTTATCGTTATCAAAAATTTTGTAGGGGTTCTCTTCTTGATCGAATTAAGCACCATAAAAAGTATGTACTCCCCTTTTAGCTCTGGCATACACTTAACACACGCTCTATACGTTATCTTTTCTTATTTTTGATTTATTTATATATATATATATATATAATATATATATATATATTTGCAAGATTTTTGTCTTTGAGCATTTTTGAAACAGATTTGCTTCAAGTTTTCTGCTTCGAATATCGGTAATATCATGCTTAGCGAGTGCTGCCTGTGGTCTGAGTGAATACTACTTAGGATCGTCTACGTGTCTCTATGTGAATCTGTATGTGTGTGTGTGTGTGTGTGTGGATGTCAACTCTGGTAAATGTGTGTATTTGTTTTTTAAAAATTAGCTAGCTAATTGGGGCAGAAGCAAAGTGTTTTGCTTATCTTTTGCTTTCTCTTTTCTAACAGTACATCTAGTGCGTGTGTTCCATAAACGTTACTCGCTACTCGTTACTCGTTACTTGTTACTTGTTACTCGCTACTCCTTATTTACAAAGACATAAGAGCATATTGAAGAAATGTACTCGCTAGTTAGGCCTGGCCTAATCTTGGGAGGTTTTTCTTTTGGATGCTGTTCGCTTTACCAATGTCTAGTACTCTATATATATCTATATGTCTATATACCGTATAAATGAGAGAATGGGAATGCTGGAAGGGGGTGAATGGTGGGGATGGGGGGAGGGGGTGGGAGTGGGTGGTACTTCTAGCTCAAATGCATTGCAATAAAATGACAATTTATGGCCTAACACTTATTCTTTAACACACAGTGCAAAAATATGGTATCGTCATCGATCTGCTCCTCTACTACTCTTCTTTACGCATCTATATACCATACAAATATATTCTATATGTGTATACGTATGTGTATATGGTGACTATACTTGTCCATTATTTAATTATTCGTATTCGTATGCGTGTTCGTAATCGTATTTCATATATTTCATTAATACATACAATACATATACATTTATATACTCCGCTATGTACTCTTATGTATTTGCTGCTGCGTTACATATACCAGAACAAAACTCAAAGGAAACTTTCGCTATGGAAAATCTTTTCTTTTTCTTTTTACTTCTCTTTTTTCTCGTCTCTTGAAGGCAATTTGATGTCAGACTCTTGCTTTAAACGTAATTACATTTTTCTTAGCTACATTATTCATTTTCTTTACCTTTTGTATTCTCTGTATCTATGTGTGTGTCTGTGTCTGTGTGTGTGTGTGTGTGTGTGTGTGTGTGTGCATTGCATGTGCGAGCGAGATAGCGTATTTGCTTGGCTTGTGTGGAAGTCTTTGGGCATGGTTTTAGTTGTTTGGGCACGGTTCAAAGCTGGGGGCATTATGCATGACGACGTGGCCAACTTTCTTCGGTGCTGGAAGCTAAACTCTACGATAAATAAAGTCGACTTTCAAGAAGAGCATTTCTTTATACTCAAAACAGTTTGTGAAAGATGAGGTGCATAATGAATGAGGATGTCCTGGCCTTTGGAATACCATTTCTCTTGTTGCTTGAGTACTTCAGTTCCACTCACTTCATTTTTGCATCAGATGTGAACTTTTGCAGTGATTTAGGTAAGCTTTGACACTTTGGTCAGTTGCTAAATATTTTCTTTGCGGAATTTCTTAAGTTTGAATTGTGTATTTTGGTATCAATTGTTAAGCCTGGGTGCACCTGTGCACCTTGAACAGCAATCTATGTAAATTTCACTCAGTGAGTGCGGCGCTCATTGGGCGCCCCTAAAAGTATGCAACATGAAATTCTTAGTTGAAGCGCCGCAAGGACGCAAGCTAGGAGATTGCTAACTGTTTCGCCAGCGCCAACAGGTGGTTGAGTTGCTAGAAAAAATAAAAGCTTGCTTGGAGTGTTCGGGGGTATACGAGCTACGAACGAATAAGAAACGAAAAAGGAAATTATTTAAGAATTACATTTATTAAAAATGTTGTTAAAAAAAATGTATACAGACAGCAAAAAAATCAACAAAATTAATACATTTACAATAAACGATAGTGCGACATCGATATCGATAACAAACGGCATCGATAGTAGCCCGATTTTAGGCGGTTTTCTCTTTTGTATGTTTGTTTTCATTCTCTCAGTTTTTTTTTGATTTTTTTTTTTTTTTTTTTTTTTTTTTTTGATTACGACGACGACGCTTTCGCCTTATAATATATATGTATATATATATATATATATATATATATATATATATATATATATATATATATATATATATATGCATATATATGTATATATATATATATATATATATATATGAATAGTTATTTGTATGTACTAAGCGATAATTATGTTTAGTATGCATATGTATATACTATATAGGTATATACATACATAATAATAATGAATAAAAAAAATAATAAAAATAAATGAATAATTAAAATTAGATTTTTTGTTTTCTGCTGGTCGAGTGTACACGACATTTACATACAAACATACAAAAAAAAAAAATAATAATATTAATAATAATAAACAGTTGTATAACTTTGTATGCACACATTTTTCTTCTTCTGCTCAATTATTTAATTAATGTTATATTAGATTAGCTTAGGCTTAGATGTATGGGTGTGTGTGTGTGTGTAGTTGATTAAACTAACGTTACATAATATGCCATTTAAATAATTTAAAGTAGAAGCTTGCTTTAGCTGTTGCCGTTTATCGTTTATCGATAAACGTAACCAACCGCCCCTCAGCACTCCCACAACACGCGCACCCTACCAAGCCCGTTACACGCAGCGCAGCCCGTGTGTGTGTGTGTGTGTGTATGTATGTGTGTGTGAATTTCTCTACAAAAAGTACTTAAAAATCAGGGACAGTAAAAACTAGCTAAATACGACTTTAATTCCTATGTATGTATATATATATATTAGATGTATGCGTGTATATATGTATATATATATACCTTATGTGGTTGATTTGCGTTACATATATATATATCTATTCAGATCTGTGTGTATATATAGATATATATGTATAAAAAAAAAACAATGTATTCTTATAGCTGTATACATTATATGAGTGTGTGTCTGTGTGTGTGTGTGTATTTGTGTGTGTGTGGCTATAATTGATTAGCTCAATCTTAACTGATCTTAAATCAACTTCCATATGAATAAATGTTAACACTTAAATTAATTAATTAATTAATTCATTTTCTTCTTCCTCCTTTTTTTTGCAATTTTTTGCTCTCTAAAATTTTGTATTAAAAAAAAAATTTATAATTATATATATATGTGTGTGGGTGTGTGTGTGTGTGTATATATATTAAATAATGTATGTATATAGTAAAAGCATAATTTATTTAGTTTAAAAAGTCAACACACACACATACACACACACACACACACACCTTCGTAATGCCGTAAAAAGCACAGAATTCAGTTCTAAAACCGAATGAGAACACAAAACAAAAATCTATTTTTTTTTTGTTTTTTAGCCAAAACTAGACCAAACCAAACTGTTCCATTCCATTTCGTTTCGCTGCTCTGCTCGTTTCATGCCATTTCGTTCCGTTTCACAGTCTACAGTCTACAGTCTTGTGTGTTCAGTGCGTTCGTCTTGGTCAGGGCGTCAAGCAGAAAAAGGTGTTTCATTCCATTATGTTTCACATAGGTTTGCAGTCTTGTTGTGGGTCAGCGATTCCATTCAATGTTTTTCTACTCTGCAGTCTTGTGTTCTGTACGTTCATTTAGGAGATGTTCTATTTCATTTCATTTCATTTCATTGGTCTGGCTGCTTTTGTTGATCTGTTTCGTTCCGTTCCGTTCCATTTAATTTCGTTTCATTTTCGGTCCGCAGTCTTTTGAATACGTTAGGGTTGGGTTAGGGCAACAGGATTGGTTGGTTCGCTTGGTTTAGTGCTGCATTTTCTTCTTCTTGATTTCTCTACTTTTGTTTTCTTTGTGTTTGTCTATATTTTAGGTTAGGTTAGGTTAGGTTAGGTTAGGTTAGGTTTTGGCTTCTAAGATCTCCAACAATTGGGGCGAAAATGAAAAATTACATGAAAATACAATATGCTCTACATTATGTATGTAGTAATAATAGTGATAATGATAATGATAATGATAATAATAATAATCAATAATCGATAATTGATAACCGAGAATCGATGATGGATAATCGGTAATCGACGATCGACGATCGCTAATCGAACCTTAGTAGTTGGTAATTGGTAAATGGTAATTGGTAATCGGTAATCGATATTAAATTGGTAATCGGTAATCGGTAATCGATAATAAAAAACATGCTTTAAGTGTACTATTCTAAAATAATTCAGTCATCAGGTAACATTGTTTTGAACACAACTACAGTAACAGAAGCTGAGGTCACGGGCGTGCGCGTAGGCGGGCGCATGGGCGTGGCAGCAGCGGCAGTATAATTATGATTTATATTGTTATTATTAAAATTATTATTATTATTAATATTGTTGTTGTTGTTGTTGTGTGGTGCTGTGGATGTTGTTGTTTGTTGTTGTTGTTGTTGTTGTTGTTGTGGATGTTGTGTTTGTGTTTGTGTCGTCGTCGTCGTCGTCGACACGGCAGTCCATTGTTGCATTGTTGCTGGGCGCATTGTTAATGACGTGGGCGTGGCAGCTGACAGCAACAGCTGCTCATCGGTTTGTGTGTGTATTGTGGCAGTGCTGGCAACAGTTGCCTGCTGTCGGCAACAGTTGCCGTTGGGCAGCATTGTGCTTGTTGCTGTGTTTGTTGTTGCGGCTGTTGCTGTTGCTGTTGCTGTTGTTGCTGCTGCAGCTGCTGGCAATTGGTATATCAAAATTAGCTGCTTGCATTGCTCACAAATATTGTTGCTTACCGTTTGCCGCCTGACTTGAACTGTTGCTGCTGCCGTTGCGTTGTCGCGGCAGCTGCTTGGTAGTGATTGTTATTGCTCCTGGGCTCGTGGCAGTGTTGTTGTTGTTTAAGTTGATTATCCTACGGGGCAGTATAAGTTGCTGTTGCTGTTGCTGCTGCTGCAATGCGAGCAACTGCTGCTGCTGCTGCTGCTGAGCAGTGGCTATTTCACTTAGGCTGGCCAATGTCACCGCCGTTTTCAGCACATGAGCTGGCGGCGGCGTTGATGTTCGCGCTGCTGCTGCTGCTGTTGCTAGCGTGCTAGCAGCTGCCAGTGGACGTTGTGACATTAAGGCCGTTTGTAGAATTGATGTATATTGTTGTTGTTGTTGTTGCTGTTGTTGTGTTTGTTGTTGTTGCTGATGTTGTTGATGTTCAAGTCTTTTGCTCTCTTCTAATCTGTTGCTGCTGTTTGCTGCCATCTTGCTGCTGCTGCTGCTGCTGCTGCTGTTGCTGCTGCTGCTGTTGTTGCTGCTGCGCGCTATTTGATCAGCAGCTGCTGTTAGCGTGGCCAACGTTGCCGCTGCGCCGCTCAGCAGCGAAGTCTTCAGTATGGACGAGGAGGCATTGCTATTGGCGCTGGCCGTGTTGGCTGCTGTCAGCGACAGCGGCAATTGTTGTTGTTGCTGCTGTGGCGACGGCGGCTCCGTAGCGCCAATTTCAATTTTGATCTTGGGCAGATCCAGCAACAAGGCAACCTGCGCCTGCAACTGCTGCTGCTGCTGCTGCTGCTGCTGTTGTTGTGGCCGGGATCTGCGACGTGTTGCTGGTGTTGTTGTTGGATGTTGCTCGTGTTGCTGTTGGCGCTTGGACGGCGCCGGCTGATGATTGCTGGCGGGCAGCAGGCCATGCTCAAGCATTTGCTACCTTATGCTCGCCGAGTTGAGCACGAAGGGCACATAAAACATTTTGCTTTCCAGGAGCAAGCTGGCCGCCGCTTGAATCTGTCGGGGATTGGTCGGGATTAGCTGCCAGTGGCTGAGCTGTACGGCTGGCGACTTACCTCGGGTATGTGGGAGAGCAGCTCGCTGAGCCGCGCCTGCGGATTCTGCGGCGATGAGCTCTGCAGGTAGGAGCGCAGCACCTGGATGTAGCGCTCCTGTATGCTCTCCAGTTCCACTTCTGCTAAAAGTTACAAAGGGGACAACATGAGCGGGCTCGCTTAGGGACTAATGTGGATGCCAGTGGCGGACGTACCTTTGTTCAGCAGTATGTAGACTTTGAGGCAGACGTACTCCTCCATCTTGAGCTTGATGCGGCGAAACATGATCGTTATCTGCGTCATCTTGTCGACCATGTGGCCGACGTCGAGCTTCAGCTGCTCCATGGCTATCGGCTGGCCCATCAGTGTGGTTAGGCAGGTCTGCAGCGTGCTCAGGTGCGAGTTCACCTCGCTGACAAACTCCGGATCGTCCTTGTGCAGCGGCATCGGCAGCTGGCTGGCCGTGGGCGTCGATGTTGGCGCCGGCGAGCCGTGCCTGTTGCTGCTGTGATTGTTGGGGCTTGTGGCGGCGCTCGATGAGCGCTTGCCGTGCAGCGCCTGGTAGGCGGCCGTGGTCAGTATGAGTATCTCGTGCCACTTGTCCGTGAGCAGCTTTGTGTGTATCTCGACGGGGATCTCCAGATAGAAGGGCAGCTTCTTGGTCCACGACACCAGCTTGTGGACGATGGAGTCGCCGATGTTGCACAGCTTCTCGCTGATCTCCGACTTGTCCTCGAGGAACTCGCTGAAGTGCGGCAGCGTGGCAATGTCCTCCATGGCATCGCAGTCGATCAGCGTCTGGATCATGGAGAGCGCATGCTCATACGAGATCTGTCTGTCCTTCGACGAGCTGACGGCCGAGTCGAGACGATGCCGCAGATGAACAATCTCGCTGGGATTGGTCAGCGCAGTCTTCAATATGGTGCCGTTCATCAGATGCGCCGGCAGCGATGGTTGCTGTTGCTGCTGCTGCTGCTGTTGCTGCTGCTGTTGCTGCTGCTGCTGCTGCTGTTGCTGCTGCTGGTGATGGTTGTGGTGTTGCTGCTGTGTTACATTGGGCGGCGGCGGCACGTGATGCGGGGAGGATAGCGACAAATGCGGCGACGATTGCTGCTGCTGCTGTTGCTGCTGCTGCTGTTGCTGCTGCTGCTGCTGCTGATGTTGCTGCTGTGCCGGACTGTGCATTGGCGGCGGCTGCAAGTGTTCGGTCTTCAGCACGGGACCCATAAACAGCTTCGACTGCTGGTGCTGGGCAGCGGCGGCAACAGCTGCCGCCAACTGTTGCTGCTGCGGCAACAGCAAGTGATGCGGCGACAGTTGCGCCGGATGGCCATGCCCGCCAGCAGCATGATGATGATGTATGGGCGACAGCAACTGTTGCTGCTGCTGCTGCTGTTGCTGCTGCTGCTGCTGTTGCTGCTGCTGCTGCTGCTGCTGTTGCTGCTGCTGCTGCTGCTGTTGCTTTTGGTTTGTCTTCTTGTGCTTCTTGTACTTCACCTTGTACAGATTGTAGACGGCGCCGCTGTTACGTCCGCCCGGCATGCGATCCTCCCGCACGGCTAGCACGGATCAAGGCAAGAAATATAAGCACAAAATTAGACTTGTCCACACACTGACTCCTAAAAGTTGATGCCCCGCTACTGACTCATAAAAGTTGATGCCCCGCTACTGAGTTGAGTGATCTTAAAAGGCTAAAGCTGCCTGGCCCAGCAGCACAGGCAAATGTCCTCGGAATATCTTTTAGTCCCTGACAGACCCCTCGCAGCAGACGTAAGGCACTCGCTTACTCCGACAACTCAAGACAGTTGTGAGCAGGGTTCAGGGTATTTTCTAGTCAGGCAGCCCCCACTTGGCCTTCTTTTTTTCGTGATACTTAACATTAGAGAAATGTTTGGCAAAGGATTGTGAGTGATGTGGGATTGAGTGTCATACTGACCTTGCAGCACCATGCCCTGCTCAATGCATTTCTTAAATCGACAATACTGACAACGGTTGCGCTGTGCTTTGGTTATCTCGCAGGTGCCATCGGCCACGCAGGTGTAGACCCTTCTGTTCTGCACGGTGCGCTTGAAGAAGCCCTTGCAGCTGCAAGAGAGAGCGAGAGAGAGAGAGTGGGGGAGGGGGATGGGCGGATGGGCGGATGGGCAGGTTAGTCAAAGTGTGCTGAGTGCTGCTCGCTGCGTGCTTCGACTTACCCCTCGCAGGTGATGATGCCGTAGTGCAGACCCGTGGCCTTGTCCTCGCATATCATGCAGACCAGCGGCTGATCGTCCTCGTCCGTCGGCTCGTGTGGCACCTCGAGGGAGCGCCCGCTGCCGCTGGAGTTGGAATTGGAATTGGAGCTGCCCCACTGCTGCTGTGCGCTGAGATTCAGCGCCTGCAGCTGACCCGGCGGCAGCTGCGAGTAGTCCCCAGCCCACAGGCGCTCCATGTTGAGGGCGTGCGGCGTGCGAAATTGATGCGGACGCGGACGGATATCCTGGATGCGCGTCTGTCCGAGAGAGAGCAACAGCTGCGCTGCCTCCTCGTTGTTCTGCGGACCCACAGTCGGCGGACCGGGCGTATGGCTGGGCGTAATGGACCCCGTCGAGGGTGACGAGGCAGTTTGCAGGCAATGCTGCTGCTGCTGCTGCTGCTGCTGTTGCTGCTGCTGCTGCTGCTGCTGTTGCTGTTGTTGATGCTGCTGCTGCTGCTGCTGCTGCTGTTGTTGTTGCTGGTGTTGGTGTTGTTGCTGTTGGTGCTGCTGTTGCTGCTGTTGCTGCTGCTGCTGCTGCTGCTGCCCCGCAGTCGGCGGCGGCGGCTCATAGCCCCAGACCATGGTGCGCACGCCGCAGCTCTCGCCCATAATGACGGTGGGCGTGCCGCGCGGCGGCGTCTGCGAGGGCGTCTGCGGCGACAGCTGCGACGACGATGACGAGGACGAGGGATGCGGCGACGGGCAGAGCGGGCCGCCAATCACCTCCGGCTTGACGCCGTTGATGCGCGCATTGCTGAAGCAGACCATGCGCTGTGCTGCTGCTGCTGCGGCCGCTGCTGCTGCTGCCGTCGGCTGCATCAGATGCGGCAGCCCGCTCGAGGCGGCGGCGGCAGCCACCGCCACCTGCTGCTGCACCTCGCTCTTCACGCGAAACAATATTGCCGCATCGCGGCTCGGATGACGCAGCGACTGCAGCGAGGCGGAGTGCATTAGCGACTGCTGCTGCTGCTGCTGCTGCTGCTGCTGATGTTGCTGGTTTTGCTGCTGCTGCTGCTGGTGCTGGTGTTGATGGTGATGCGGCGAGAGATGCCGCTGCACCTGGCCACCAGATCCACCGCCCGAATTGGGCTCCTTCTTGACGCGGATGAGCGCGTGCGGCGAGTGTTGCTGCAAGTGCTGCGGCGACTGTTGCTGCTGCTGCTGTTGCTGCTGCTGCTGCTGCTGCTGCTGGCCCAGCAGATGGTGCAGGTGCAGCTGCTGCTGTGTTAGCTGCTGCATCGACTGCATGGCCAGCTGCGGCAGCTGCAGCTCCTGCGGCGGACTGTTCTTTCGCAGCGTCAGCGGCTGCGTCAGCTGCTGGTGCAAATGATGGGTCTGGACGATGGAGGCGGGCGCTAGGCTGCCATGCCCGTGGCCGCCCAGCTGGGCGTGCGCGTGGGCGTGGGCATGGGCGTGGCCGTGCGGATGGCCGTAAGCATGCGAATGATGCTGGCCCATCGGCGGACTGGCACGACTGATGTGCTGCGAGGAGCTGATGGAGCTGGAGCTGCCCAGCTCTCGATCTCGATCCCGCTCCCGCTCCCGCTCCCTTTCGCGTTCTCTGTCCCGCTGCGTGGTGGAGGAGGGCGAGGCGGGCGGCGGCGGCTCCGCCTTGATGCGCGAGGGCGTCACCAGCACCGTGACATGGCCCGTGGCTGCCTTCAGATCCCGCTCGCGCTCACGCTCCCGCTCCCGCTCACGCTCCCGCTCGCGCTCCCTCTGCTGCTGCTGCTGCTGCTGCTGCTGCTGCTGATGGTAGGCGAGCATTTTGGTGGGCGAGGCCAGGATGCGCTCCTCCTTGACGGAGCGTATGACGCTCAGATTGCTGCTGATCTTGTTGCTGCTGCTGCTGTTGTTGTTGTTGTTGTTGTTGTTGCTGCTGCTGCTGCTGCTGCTCGCCAACAGACCATTGGTGGGCGTGGCGCTGCTGCGACCGCCCGTCGTCGTCGACGGCTTCTCCTCGAGCGAATCGGGCGAGGCAAGGCGACTGCTGCCATTGCTCGAGCTGGAGGCGCCGCCATTGTTGTGCGGCGGCGTCGGCGTGCCGCGCGCACTCAATGCCAGCGACAAGGCCTCCACGCCAGCGCCACCAGCTGCAGTGTCCAGTGCCAGTGGCGGCGTCGCCGCTGGCGGCGGTGGCGACATGACCGTCGAGGCAGCCGCCGCTGTGATCGCGTTGCTGGATGAGTTGATTTCAGTCTGTTGATGCTTGGATCCGCCAGCCGATCCACTGCTGGCAGCAGCAGCTGCCGCTGCGGCCGCAGCTGCCTTGGCTGCGGCTGTTGCCGTTATGGTTATGGTGCTGCTGCCGCTGCTGCTGGTCGGACAGCTGGCCGCTGCCGCAGACATTGAAGATGATGCTGATGATGCTGATGATGAGGTGGCGGCTGCTGCCGCCGATGTGGATGCTGCCGTTGTCACCGTCACCGTCACCGATGGCAGCGAGGGCAGCGCTGGCAGCGCCGGCAGCGACGGCAGCGACGGCAGCGCCGGCGTCGTGCCGCTGTCACAAAGCTTCGGCGACATCGGCGCCAATAGATCCGGCGACGAGGTGGATGTGTCCGCTATGGATTCGCCGTCACTGCTGCATCTTGAATCGATTTTGCGTCGCTTGAGTTTGAGGTCTTGAAAAAGGCTCATTTTATCGAGCTCGCTGTACGGGCCACGGCTCAGTGTCATAATTCCTGCGTGGCAAAGACAGACATGGGGCAAGGCAGTTGCAGAGTTAGAGACAGAAAGACATATAGATATGCAATATATATATAAATATATACGTATTATATATACAGTTAATATGTAGTCTATAGCTAAACACAGAGCAAAGTTGAGGCTTACAGATAGAGGCAAATTGAGCTCGAGGAATACTTGCAACATGCTTCGACTTGCTGTGCTTGGTGTGATTGGTGCCCCAGGAATGGCTTTGCCAAACTGAGCTCCAGCAAATGCTGTCAAGTTGTGTCTAGCAGTGCGAAGACAGCCCAAGCTATATATGCCTGATCCATACACACATACAGTTTGCTTGCTATGATCGATAACTTTGTTCACATCAATGAAATCGATCAAATAACCCGCTAGAGTTAGCTGTTTAAGTCTCGAGCTGACTTGACTCAAATTAGTGCTATTTCATAAACGTCATTTTCTATGTCAATATCTTTATGCTTTACTATCGATAAATATCGATGTTTTGACTTGGGCGAACAGACAGCCAGAGCTCAAGACTCCAAAGTTTCTTAAGTTACGACTCTAAATATTTTGTATAATAATAAATTCCACAATATTTTAAATAGTCACATTTTGGGCTACGATAACAAATTCGAATGCTAAAGTTAAGTTAAGCGTGGCTCAGAGCTTTCAGCTGGAACAGCAGTTGGCAGTAGATGCAGATACAAGATACAAGTGCAAGATACAGATACAAGCAGGCAATACTTTTATATATATATATTTTTATATGAATAGCTGAAAGTATTTTCCGCTAGTGTCAGCTTTAGCTTGTATCTGTATCTTTTATCTGTATCTTGTATCTGTATCTAATGATTGTATCTTTTAGCTAGGCCTTATTCATGCTAGCTACTTTGCCTTTCATCTATCAGTTTTATAGTGCCCAAACTTTATAGATCATATACGTCACTTTGGGGGCGTGGCAGGTCATATGTAACACAACTTTAAAGCCGCGATCAGCACGTCTTGCGGACAGAGCAAAGTCTTAACAGTGCTGCGATACACTTACTAGGGGCGTGGCAGGCCGCCTACAGCTCGGCCATGTTGATAAAGTCTAGATCTGAATTTAGCTGTGAGCGGGCATTGGGCAGTCAGGCAGTCGGGTCTAGGCAGCGACTCATGTGGCTCTTTGGCAGAGCTGGCTAAAATATTCTTGCATGCTCAGCCTCTTTAGCCTCGTCTGGGAGATGCTGCCGCTACGTTTCCCATGGCCGTGACTTTGTCTCAAGCCGACGCCGAATTCGTTAACTTGTCAAACTTGATTTGCCGTTTAGAATTTCAGATTTTCATTTAAATAACTCTCGGTATACGAGCTAGAACCAAATCGTGACTTATGGTAGCTATGTGGAGAGAGTGAAATGCATGTGGATCGCCCGGCCTGAGCTGAGCCGTTATCAGCTGCTAAAGCATATTCCATGTCCATGAGAACGAGTTGATAGCCCAAGCATATGGCAAATAGTTATGGCCGTGTTGACTATTCATAAAACGCTTTGGCTTGGGCTCTGCCAGGTGAATCACTGCATAAAATCATATGTCAGTTCGAGTGGTTTTTTGTTTTGTTTCGGTTTTCGTTTGCTTCGTCTCGAATTTTGCGGAAGTTGTTGCCAAATGGTCAAAACAAAATTTGCATTTACTTCCCCAACGAGCAGCGTTCGAACTGGTTCAACTGTTGCCAAGGGGCAGGGGGTGGGCTGGCTGTGCGCTCGCTTCGATTGTCTAACATAATTAGCTGCGTAGCCTCAAAGAAGCAACAACGAAAAAGACACAAGACGAAGCGCGAAATGGGTCAAAAGTAAATATCGACAGAGGCGTGGGGCTGGCTAAAGGGAGGAGGCAGGCACAGCTAGCCCAAGGGGCACGCTATCAGCGGCAAGATAAGCGCTTGTGTTGCAGTCTGTTGCAAGCTAGAAGTTCAAGCAGAGCGAATGGCCGAGAGAGGGAGAGGGAGAGAGAGAGAGAGAGAGCTCTGGCAGCATGGGCAGCATTTGTTGAGGGGGTCGCAGCAGCAGCAGCAACAGCTGAACTTTCGATCGCATTGAAAATTCTAGCGCATGCTCTCTCGCTCCTACACGCGTTCGCGCTCGCTCTCGCTCTCGCTCTAGCTCAATTAGTGAACGCGGTGCGTTGGCCCATGGCTCTCTCTGTGTGTGCGTGTGTATCTATCTAATGTCGTATCTACACGCAGCCACGATCAGCGACGGCGAGACGGAGACGCGGACGGCAGCAGCGCCGTCGCCAGCGACGTCGCAGTGTCGCGTTTGTGTGTGTATTTTTAAAATTTGACCTATTTTCATTATCAAGCGCAAGATTATTCTAAACAATAAAGCCCATGCGTGGCTGTCTGTGTGCCTGTTTGGCTGTGTGTGCGGCGCGTGGTAGGAACAGCAGCTAGTAAAAGCACCCACCCACACGCTGCACACGCACCTGTGCGAGAGTCACAACTAATGTGAATCGAGCTGGAAGCGCTCAACAGGCGAAGCGTTTCGAGAACTTCAGCTGCAACTGCAGCCGCTCGCTGGGATCCCATTTCCAATTCGAGGCGATCCGATAAACCAAGCAAAGCAAAAAACACACAAGAAAATTGATAACTTTCGATATTCCCGTGCCTTGACACATTGTTATCGAACCTTTGCCCAGTTTCGATACTTTAAATAGGTGGAAATTTGTTTGGCTCTAGGAATATCTGTAGTTCAAAGCTATTAACTGAAAACTGTTATATGCTTAGACTTATTTATCGATCAGTGCTGCCCACATCGATAAACAATAATCAAACATTTACCTATCGTTGTTAGCTTTAGCAAAGCCTGCATTTCGATATATCAGTAATTTGAGGTCTTTTATCGCCGATCAAACAAAAAACTACAAAAATCATTTATCGATAATTTGTTAAAATTATTAAATGTATTAAATATAGTATATATGTGTTTATTTGACTAGTATTTAGCACCTGTTGTATACGCATCTAATAAATTTTAACCTAGAGACAGCAGTTGCCTATCGATAAACGATTATCGATTACTATTTATAGCAAAATCGACTTTCTTTAAAGTAAATGTTATTAATTTTAATGAGCATCTCTCATATGTGCTGTCTGTCACGTTAGTCGATTAATCGATAAATCGATAAATTTATCGATAGCCCAGCAAGTCAACAATCAAATATATTTATTATCTGTATGCGTAGAAACTGCCCCAAAAACAAGTCGACTTGATCGATACATTTATCGATAACACGCAACTTGATAAATCAATTGATTTTGAAACTTCTTACGAATATCGCTTATCGATCAAGCATTTCATCAGCAAATTCTTGCATGTTGCTAAGTGCGCACATCATTTCGTTCAGTGCACCAAAATCATGCTGTAAATCATCGAGTAAAATACTATGGAACATATGTGCAGCCAGAGGGAATACTTTATATACAAAGAGAGGGACTGTTGTTGTTGTTGTTGTGGTTGTTGTTGATGGTGTTGATGTTGCTGTTGCTGTTGCTGTTAGTGAGGTTAGGAATGATCGGTTTGTTGGACAGAGTTGAAAGTGTTACGGTATCTAAATTAGTGGTATTAGTAGATTGCTACTATGTAAATGGTTAGTGGGTAGTTTGGACAGTTTTGCACTGAGAGCAGATTTACCTATGGATGTCATAATTTTGTTGTTGCCGATTCGATTCTTGAATTTGGAACGTAAGAGAATACGTAAAAATTTTGAATGCCGATTGTGTTGAAATTGTTTTTGCTTATGTTTTTTTTTTGGTTGTTTTCTTAAAGCTGTTGCAGCTCTTGTTGCTGTTGTTGTTGTTGCTCTTGTTGTTGCTGTTGTTGTTGTTTTTGTTTTTGTTTTTGTTGTGTTTGTACTCGAGGTAAGCATTTAGTTGCTGTCAGTTCGGTGTGCCACACTTGCCACATGACGGCAGAGCCTGCGGCATTACCAAAAAAAAAACAAAAAAACAGGGTATTTAACGTTCATCAACACGATCAGCGTCGTGTTGATGAAAGCGAGAGAGAGAGAGAGAGAGAGAGAGAGAGGGTGGGGTAGCGCGGGGTAGGGGGACGGAAAGGGTTTGCCAATTCGAGTTTTTAACAATTTTGTTTGCATATTAATTTTTAGTATTTCTGTCGGTATTTTTGCGGTATCTTTTGCGGTATTTTTTGCGTTATTTTTGCGTTATTTTTGTCACTATTTTCGAAAATTTGGATTCTTTTTAGTTTTAGGTTTATTTTTTTGTTGTAATTCTGGGGAACTTTTACGCAGTGTGTGTGTGTGTGTGGGTATGTGTGTGTGTGTGTAGGGGTGGGTGAGTGCAGTGGCTCTTTGGGAAGTAACTGATAATACAGGGTATTATGATAAAATCGAGTTTATGTTAAGTGAAAACAGAACGTATTCAAAAAATACTAACGGCAAATGGGCGGCATACGAGATTTTTTCTTATAATAATTGTTATAGTTGTTGTAATGGATGTTATTGTTGTTGTTGTTGCTGTTGTTGTTATTATTGCTGCTGCTGCTGTTGTTGTTGTTGTTGTTGTGGGTGTTGCACTTGTTACACTTTTGACTGCAAGCATTTTGTGCTGCTGCTGCTGCTGGCAATGTTGCTGCTGTGCAGGATATTGCTGCTGCTGCTGCTGCTGCTGTTGCTGCCGTTGCTCCTGCTGGCGTTTGTAGACGAAAGTCAAGCTTCTGCTGCTCCTGCTGCTCATCGGCTGCCCCATGCTCGGGCGTAGAGCAGCATGTTGCTCTTGCTGTTGCTGCTGTTGCTGCTGCTGCGGCTGCAACATCGACGTCGTCGCCACTGGCGCCAGCAGCAGCAACAGCAGTAGCAACATCATTAATGTTATCATTATCATTGTCGTTGTTGTTGTTGTTGTCGTTGTCGCCGTCGCCGTTGCCGTTGCCATCGCCGTCGCCGTCATGATGATGATAATGATGATGGTAATGATGATGATGATGATGATGATTATCATTCATAAATTGTTCTTGTTCATTGTTATTTCCGCTTTTAAAACCGGAATCGCAGCCAAAACCCAAAGCATTGTCGTTGATGTCGCTGTTGGTGCTGCTGCCGATGCCAGCATTGTTGTTGCTGCTGCTGCTGCCGCGCAAGTTGTTGCTGCTGCTGTTGAATGCAACAGAATGCGGCAGATTGCCGTTGCTATTACTGCTGCTGCTGCTGTTGTTGTTGTTGCACTTCTTGAGCAGCGTTTTGTTAAGCGGTGTCTTGATAATGGTCAACTTGCTGCTGCTGCTGTTGCTGCTATCAACCTCCAAGCCGGCGTCCTTGTCAGCAACATCGTCGTCATCGATGTTGTTGCTGTTGCTGTTGTTGTTATTGTTGTTGCCGTGACCATTGATGGCTCTTAGCTGCTGCTCCTCGTGCGTATGCTGGCCATTCTGCTTGGCCTCGCCAGCTTTGCTGGCTGTTGCTGTGGCTGTTGCTGCCGCTTCGGCAACGACAGCGGCAACATTGACAGCAGCCACCGCTGGCTCCAGGCTCAGCGGCTGATTGGCATTCATTTGGACTGATCCTGGTGCTTAGGTGGGCAGGCACAGCTGTCGAAGGATGGCAACACTGGCAACTGTTGCCATGCTGGCAACGGCAACCGCTGGCAAGCAGCGCCAACTAGGACGCATGCTTGCACCACAATCCGGGCATGAGTTTTATCCACAATTTGTAGTCAATCAATGCGCTTTTTATGCTGCACACACACCCACACACACGCACACACGCACACGCACTGGAAGCGAGTGTTTCACTTTTTAACAGCTAATGAGCGAATGGAAAGAAATGTGAGCAAAAAAAATGGAAGTAGTAGAAGACGAAGCCACACACACACACAGAGAGAGAGAGAGAGAGGGAGAAATATCCTGACGTTATGGCAAATGATGGTAAAGGCGCCAATTGACGAGTGACGAGTGACGAGTGACGAGTGAGGAGTGAATTATGACGAGTGTGTCTGTCTGTCTGTCTGTCTGACTGTGTGTGTTGGTGTGTTTAGAAGTGGGGCTTGCGGGTGGGCAACACTGGTAACAACATGTATACAACAAACATTAAAAAAAATTGTCAGATATAACTATATCTATATATACACACGATATAGATATAAAGATATGTGTATTTATTTATTGTTTATGATCACTTTAAGCCGTTGACCGTTAGATAGTTGTTTTCTTATTTGATTTGTTGTTCTAGCTAGCAACAACAACTAACACACACTCACACACACACACAGAGAGACAGCGAGAGATATTGAGAACAGCGCGAGAATGCATTTTTATCTTGTTATCTATGTATGTGTATGCGCATATTTATTTATCATAGGTATATCCAATTTATATATAGAGAGGCATATTTATATTACAGGCAGACCACATCAAATAAGGCGCGAGCGAGTTGAAATCCCGTGATGACCGTTAACAATAACTGTTTTCGCACGCCGAAAGTAACGAATGGCAGTAAACCGGGTACTCGTTAGTGCGCGCACAACAACCAAAAATGACAACACACTAATATTACAAAAATAATAATAATAAAAAAACAACAGAAAAAAATACGAAAAAAAAGCGAAAAAAAAATTATATAGTGTCTCTTCCGTATGACAACACACAACAAACAGAGAGACAGCGGCCAAGAGTCGCTTTCGCGCCGTGTGCTGTTGTTTTTGTTGTTGTTGTTGTCGTTGTCGGCTGGTTGTTGTTTTGTTTGATGCTGCTCCGCGGCCAACGTGCGTACATTCGAACGAAATAAAGTGAAATGAAAGGAGTAAGCGAGCGAAAGAAAGCAAGCAGCAGCCACAAACCGTCTCAGCCCAGTCAGCCAGCGACGTCTGCGCTGGCTGCGCTGCCAACGTAGCTGGTTGCAGGCGCGCGCGCCTCGAAAACTAGCGCGATATAACAACAGCAATAACAAATTCAAAGCTGCGCTGTCGTTGTCGCTGCCGCAGCTGTAGCCGCAGCCGCAGCCGAAAGCCAAAACGATCACAGCACAACATTAGACGGGAAACGTCGCGGCCGCTGCCGCAGTCGCAGTCGCCGTTGCCGCCGCCGCCGTCGCCGCCGCAGTCGCAATAGACGTCGACTGCAAATGAAAATGAAAACCAATAGACAAAAAGTAAAAAAGCACACACCAATACATATAAGCATATGCATGGCGCAGTCATAGACACAGACACAGACAAAGCCATAGACCCAGGCGACGTCGACGTCATAGTTATGCTATGCGCGACCGCTCGGCAACACATTCGGCCAGCGTTCGTTCGGCTGCAATAAGCGCTAGATAGATAAACGGAGAGAATATGAGAGTGAGAGAGAATGCGAGTGGGCGCACACCAGAAGCTTATGCCAGCTACTCTAGCCAGCTTGCATGTACTGCACCCCGCAATGGTACTGTCTACCCTACAGGAATAGCTCCGTTGCGTCTGGCGACAGTTTCAGCTGACGTCGCTGCCGCCTAGGCGCATGAAAATAGAAAATAGAAGCACGAACAAAAAAAAAAAAAACTACTGAGCTTTGTGGGGCGCTCCCCCATCCAATGCTACAGTTTATGCATATGTGTTCTGCATTTAAATTCAAATTTGAAGTTGTATTACATGAGTGTGCGTGTGCGTGTGTGTGTGTTCATGCGTGTATGTGTGTGGACGTTGACCGGCTTGCTGCCAGTGGGTCGTATTCATTGCAGTTAATAGCAGGCAGTAAAAGCTTTCCTACAACGACTACTACTTCGTCTTCGTTTCCAACTTCGCCTCGGTCTCGGGAGTCGGGACTTTACATTCGTGTCGTCACTTACGTCAACAGGCTAGAAAGAGAGCGGCTGCGGAAGATAGCAAGGCGCTTATGCAAAGGTTCAATGAAATGAAACATAAAACTGTGCCACCAGTGTGCGCGAGTGCAGCGACGCTAGCGTCGCTACGACTGCGACGCCTGCTGCTGCTGCTACTGCATAAAAAAGCTTTGAGCATTAATATAACATAGCTATTAGATGTTCGAAGGAGAAAGAAAGAGAGAGAGTGAGTGTAAGTGGGAGTGGGAGTGGGAGTGGGAGGCTGATTGTATCAAATGCTTCCTGACTCGGTCGCAGCAAGCGCAAATATACATTGCAATTGGGATCCCATTGCTGATCAGTGGGTGACACTCACACACACACACGCAAATTGACTTAAGCTAAAGTATGCATTACACAGGCGCACTGTGACAGTGAGTAAAAGGTAAAAGTGAATTTGAAAAAGAGCAGAAAATCATCAACGATTGCGCAACGGCGGCGGCTGCGCAAGTGGAGCGCAACGGCGACGGGCGGCATTAAGAAGCAGCAATGTCATGAATTGCAAAATGTGGATGGACAAAAAACAGTGGACAGGGAACGGTGGGTGTAGCGACAAAAAAATCGAAAATAAATAAGTAAATATTATGTTGAGTCGTGTCTTGTACAGCATTTGCCATTTAGTATGTCGCCAACAACATTTATTTATACTCCCGCACACTCTCCTTTCCCCATTCCCCTGTTCAACCCAGCCCAGCCCTTCCCAAAGACACGCCCCTTTATAGCCCTACAGGCGCTATAGTCAATGATGCCTTCTCACTGGCACGTTCGTTCGTTGACCATTGTCTCGAGCACTTTCGATTTCAAATACATTGCACGCTGTTAGCAGCAACAGCGGCAACAACATCAACAACAACAGCGGCAACAGCAACAAATTCAATATGTAATTGTTTGGCGCACATTTCATTTCCTTATTGCTCACTGACATTTTGCTTTACACACTCACACAGACACACAATTTGCAAATACATACATACAAAACTGGCTTACGACTTTATAATGAGCAATAACAACAACATGAAAATGCGAGCAAAGCAAACGTGTCAAGTCTACTGCTGCATTTGCTCTTGTTACTGTTGTTACTGTTGTTGCTGTTGCTTTTACTGTTTTTTTTTTTTTGCATGTATGTAACTTGTAACGCAGGAAGCTTAAAGCCGCCCAAAACTCCACTTACTACGCGCTCACTTGCTGTACACACACTCTCTCACACGGAACACACACACACAGAGCATAGGGCATACAGAGCGCTCTCTTGAGCCTCGCTCTCAGTGGCCGCCAGCTGACAGGCTGTTGCCTCTTCTCTGGCGCAAGTGAAAGTTTTTGGGTTCTTTCCTTGTCCATGACACGGATCAGCGGCGGGCGTGCAAGTGAGACAGCCAGCCAGCCAAGCACGCATGCCCGCTTAGCTGAGCGAGATGGCATACGGAAATATGCAACTGCGAAAGAGAGTGCTCAGCGTCAAAGAGAGCGACCGTACGCGTGCGCGCATTTGTGAGCGAGCTTTGCAATGTTGTTTTTTTGTCTTTCAATTTTTATTTGTTTTTTGTTTTATTATTATTTTTTAATGTGGTACTCACCGGACCACAGCGCCGGGCCAGGCATAGTTGCACGCGTTTTGTCTCTGCTGCAGCGTCTACTGTGTTTGTTGTTATTGTTGTTGCTGATTTTGGGATCCTTAGATTTTTGTATAACTGTTTTGGAGTTGCACTTGCTCTGCAATTGTCTCCACTTTTGAACACCCACTTTACACTTGAACAAAAAATATCGCCATTTGCAGTTCGGTTTTTAGTAATATTTACTTAGTTGCCTTTGGTTTTTTTGGTAATCGCGCGCGCGCTGACTGCGTTCGAGCCACAAAGCGACTGAAGTCAGTGCGCTGCCGCCGCTGCCGTCTGCCGTCTGCAGTATGCAGTATGCAGTCTGCGGTCTGCTCGTAAGAGGCTGCTGCAGCTCTGAAGCACTTGAAGCCAAAACAAAGTCAACGCCAACGACAACGACGACAACGACAACGCCAACGACAACGTCAACGTTGGCGTCAGCAGCGCAGTCAACAGCACAGCGAACGTATGCGAAAATGACTTGCCGTTGCAGTTGTTATTGTTGTTGTTGCTGTGTTACAAGTGCTTGAAGTAGAAGTTGTTCGAGTTATTAACTTTTGTTTCGTTGTGTTTTTTTTTTTGTTTTTTTTTTTTTTATTTTTTTTCTTTTTGTTTTTGTTTATGTCGCACGCACTGTACGATTTTTGGTTAAAGCGCTAGCCAATTGGACTGCTGCTGCTGCTGCACGGCGGTCTGGCGGATATAACGGAAATGTGCAACTGGCAGCCAGCAACCAGCAGCAACGGACAGCGAAATTGTCAAACGGCTTGCAGTGACGACAGCGAACCGAAACAGAAACCGAAAACAGAAACAGAAGCCGAAAAGCATGCGAGAGCAGAACCCGAGCGACGACAACGCGCGTGGGGTTTTCCTTAGGCCCCCAAAAGCTGCTACCGCTGCAACGGCTGCTGCTGCTAATGCTGCTGCTGCTGCTGCTACCGCGGCTACCTCTGCTGCTGCTGCTGCTGTTGTTGCAGTTTTGCTAACTGCCATTTGCCATTTGCTCTTGTCCATTGGCTTCTAACGGCTTCGTCAAGTGCATGCGCTCTCTCATGCACTGTAATCGCGCTCTCGCTCTCGCTCCCTCTCTCTCTCTCTCTCTTTCTGCCTGTCTATCGGTTTCTGCTTAGCTTTGGTTCTCTCGCGCTGCACTGCTTGCATCATAGACTCTACTGCTCTGCTCTGCTCTGCTCTGCCCTGGACGTCTCGCAACGCCCGCGCCGCCCAAAAGCTCCCGCTGACCCGACACTTGTCAACTCTTGCAGTGCTCTGTTGCTTAATCAAAAGTTTCTGTCATCTATTCCCCTATCCACCTCACTCTCTCACTCTCTCGCTCTCCCTCTCTCCCTCTCCCTCTCTCTCTCGCTCTATTATTGTACGGTTTTTTTTTTGTTCTGTGCTGGGCTCGAGTCAACCAACTTTGGAAGGTCATGTGGACTTAGTGCAGCCGAAATATCCTTGGATCATATTGGAAATGCACACACACATGCAAGCAAATGTGTGTATATATATATATATATATATGTGTGTGTGTGTGGTCCTCGGGTTGTTCAAATGTCGCCTGGCAGCCGAGCCAATTGAGCCAGCTTTTTATAGAAGTTGTTGTTGTTGCACCTAGTTGTTGTCATAGTTACACACATACACGCACACACACGTATATATATATATACATATATATATATATATATATATTTGTATGCAAAACTATCTAAAGTCAAAGCATTTCCCGCAGCATTCGAGTTGCGCTTTGTCATGCTTTCTTTCCAGTTTCTTCTTCTTATCAGTTATGAATATAAGCACATATATATATATAGCATATATGCATGTGTACAATCAAGAGCAGCAAGTACCTGGAACTATACCCAAATTGGCAGCTTCCATGTGCCAGACATTGCTCTCCGCATAGCTCGTATTTAGTTTAGATTATGCAACACTTTGTTAACAATGCTGCTGACTTATTAGATCTTATGCAAATGTGGAGCTAATGGATATATTTTCATACTCTATCAAAATGGCGCACAAGTTGCAGTTGCACTCTAATTGCCAGTCATGAGGTTCAACAACTTTCACACAAAAATCCTTGAACGCCATTTGCATGCAAAGCTCCACTGCGCCCCTCCCCTAGACTCGATAACAAAAACAACTGCAACTGCAATAGAAGGCAGAACAACAACAACAACAATGATTGCAAAAAACACAATAACAACAACAACAACGAGATTACGTATACGCCACGTATTGCGACAGACGCCGACGGGCTAGTCCATGGGGCCAGAGAGAGGGTGTGCGTGTGTGTGTGTGTGTGCTGTCGATGCTTTGTAGAATGTGGTAGAAAAACAACAGCCACAACAACATCAGTGAGCGCTGTCTTAACGGTAATTCATTGGCCGCCTTTGTTGCTGGCCAAAATGCGTTCGAAATTGCCTTTTGGGCTCTAAACGAATGTCAAGTGGAAAAGCAGCTAAGGCGGGCGTTGGATGCAGAAGCGAAGGGTAAGCAAATCGAAAACGAAATTCGAGTTGAAGTTGAGCCAGCGAGGCAAGGAGCGAGGCAGACAGAGACAGCAAGAGAGAGCGAGAGAGGGTGACAGAGAGAGAGAGAGAGAGAGAGAGTTGGCAAAGTGTTTTGCGAGTTTTGTGGTAAAGTGCAAAATGCTGACACTTGATGTTTGTTGTTGTTGTTGTTGTTGTTGTTGTTGTTGTTGCTGCTGTTGCTGTTGTGAGGCATTCGCGTAATATTTCTGGGTCATAGATATTTGTACACCTATGTAGCCACGACGAGCAGCTGATACATAGGCATGACTATATATATATATATATTTATATATTTTTTTTAGTTGTGTGTGATTGTTGCTCTTGCTATAAAAGTTGTTTTTTTGTTTTCATTTGAGCTTGCTTAGGTTCTAATTTATTAGATATTTCTGGATCTGGGATTTGACTGACCTTATAAAACGAAAGTCCAACGCTGCAAAAGAAATGCCTGCGTCATTCCCTCTAAGAACTGCAAATGAAACGAAAGATAGCATCAGTATGAGTTATATAACGTATATAGATAGATATATATATAGATAAAGATATAGATACAGCTGCTAAGATGTTGCCTTTCTTTGCAATTCTCATAAACAGCTAGCTCTGACTCTCATAAGCTGCCACTACTCATAAGAGAGAGAGAGAGAGAGAGAGTGCGGTTGCATAAGATCGTTAAGTTCAATTGTTGCTTCGAAATAGTTGTCTCGATACGAATTCGTTTGACCATTTTACTTTTTTTTTCGACTTGCTCCATATTCTTATCTCCGATTTCTAGATGGCTTCTAGGGCGGAAGGTAGTAGGGGGGCTGGGGTGGTGGCAAGTTCGGTGGGGCGAACGGCTATCAGGTTACCCCATGCCAGAGTTGTTGTTGCGGCTGTTGCGCTTTTTCAAATTCGAATTCCAATTCGAATTCGAATTCGAATTCGACGTTTTTTCATTTTTAGGTCAATTTTGACAGTCGACAGTCGGCACACTAAATGACAGCGACAGCAACGCAACAGCGACAACAACAACAACAACAACAACATCTTGATCTGCAGAGATCGATTCCCCCATTCCCCACCCACTGGCCCTGGCCAAGCAGCGAGCATCATCTTCGTCTCCATCAGCTGCATTGACAGGCGACGGGCGCTGGGCCAAGAACTTGAAATTGTCAATGTGTGTGTGTGTGCGTGTGTGTGTGTGTGTGTGTGTGTGTGTGTGCGTGTGCGTGTGTGTGTGCGTGTGTGTGTAGGTGGCCTGAAAGGTGTGCGCCTCTTGAATACAGCGACTTATCTGACAGCGAAGCAAAAAACACCTCACAAAAAACTATGTAGAAGCTGCTCGCGTCTACACTGAGAGAAATAAACTAGTCTAAGCTTGTAGCAGGGACATGCCAGATGTACAAAAAGTGTTCTACTTGAGGGTTGGTTAGTCAGCTTATGACTTTCTGCTAGTTGATGTACAAAAGGTGCCGCTCTATGCGATTCTCAACACAAGAGAAACTCAAGAGCGTCAAGTCAACTGCATTTTGTGCAGTGTGCCACATGTCTAGGGCGCTATTTATGTTTGCTAGTGACCTATATACACACACACAGCAAGAAGGGGGGGGGCGGGGGGAGGGGGAGGTGCTAGCTATGGGCAGCACTAATTAACGAAAGGTAAATCTAAAAGTTGAGAGGAAGCAAATTTACGCCGCGCTCATAACATCACAAGCAGCCCCACACCCTGCTCCCCACTCTCCCCAATTAACAGATTGTGTTATCTGCGTGTGTGTGTGTGTGTGTGTGAGGCACCTTCAGCATATCCCTGGACGCATATCAAGTTGAAGGTTTATTTTTGTTTACAATCATTTTCGAGCAATGTAGAAAAGCAACAACAACAAACAGCGCGACTCTTTCGATACCCCAACCGAACGCATGGCCACCCCCAGTTCCCCAGTTCCCCAGTTCCCCAGTCCCGGCTGCCCGATCAAGCGCCCGCTCAGCCCCACCGCGCACTGCTGCTCCTCGCCCTGCTCCACGCCCACACGTTCAACAAGTAGGTCGTCGTCATCGTCAACGTTTCGAAATAGAGGAAAAGAATTTTTTCCTTTTTTTTTTTTTTTGATTTTTTTAGATTTATTTTTTTTGGTTTTTTTGTTTTTGTTATTCTATTTCTTGTTTCGTATGTTTGCTTTTCTTTTAGTATTTTATCTTATCGGCAGTCATCGAGTTCAGGGAAATACCCTGGAAATGCGACAGTGGCGCGTTTGCTGGGCCTGCCAGATCGCAGGCGTTTGCCAAGCTCTAGTTACAGGGTATGTGCTTGTCGAGGCTGGCCACTCTGCAGTGTGTACAGGGTATGACAAAGTCTGTCACTTCTGCTCCACATTCAGCTATCTGCTAGTCGAGTCGCTGTTTTTTTTTTGTGACTTCAGTAATTCACTTGGAATTGCTGGCCGAGTGTACGGCTAGGGTATCTACTAGTCGAGCACATTCGCGCCGTCTGCTGCTTTCTTCTTTGGCTTTCTTCGGCTTCTAAAACAACAGCAATAGTAAAATGCGAAGAGAAAAAAAATGTTTAAACCGAATTTTGTTATTAACAAATGTTTGCCTTTCGCCCCGTCCCACTCGCACTGCTCGACTCGCTCGCTGCCTGCCTCCCTCGCTCTCTCGCTCCCTCGCTCGCTCGTGTATTTGTTCATATTCCACGCACCCGGCACAACAG